GCCCTCGGCCTGGACATCAACGACAACTCCGTGGCGGTGTACGACGGCGACAGTAGCTCACTTTCTCGCGACTTTCTAAACCAGATTTCCACCAAGGTGATCGTCCAAAAGCGGTACCCTAGTGAGGAAAGTGCCAGAGAGGCCGTGGTCGAGGCGGTCGTCCCCACGGCGCTGATCATCTACCCGAACTTCCAGGACTGCCTGGTGCAGCGGTTCACCTCCATTTCCGTCGGTGGGGGAATTTCCGCCGAGGTGGCCCGCAACGCCACCGTCCACCTCCTGCCGGACATGTCCAATCAGATGCAGGTGCAGTTCATTCAGAAGGAGGTCTTCCGGGCCTTTCAGCAGGCGGCCCGGCATCTGCTGGCCAACTTCACCGGAAGTAGCAAAAGCAGCAGCAGCAACAGCAACTTCAGCCTCGTCGACCTGCCCGTCGTCCTCGACACGCCCATCTACGGCCAGCTGGACGCCCCCTTCACCCACTACATGGCGCCCGGCGTCATGCTCGGCCTCGCCTTCTTCTCCTCCATCTCCCTCACTACCATGAACCTCATCGTCGAGCGGAAGCTGGGGCTGATTGAGCGGACGCACGTCGCCGGCGTGTCCCACTTTAGCATCCTCCTCGCGCAGGTACTGACCACCTCGGTGATCCTCGTGGCGCAGGTGGCCAGCCTGCTGGTGGCGATCTTCGCCGTCTTCAAGGTGCCCTCGGTGGGCTCCTTTGCGCTGATCGTCATCCTCAATCTGCTGCAGGCCTTCTGCGGCATGACCTTCGGCCTGCTGATCTCCGTGGTGGCGGACAGCGAGAATACGGCCACCATGCTCGCCCTGGGCACCTTCTACCCGGTGATGCTGCTGGCCGGTTCAATGTGGCCCATCAATGCGATGCACCCGGTGCTGCAGTACGTCAGCTACGGGCTGATGGAGGCGGTGCCCATTATCAGCCTGCGGGCGATCATGGTCCGGGGCTGGGGCCTGGAGCACTGGCAGGTGGTCAGCGGCTTTCTGGTCACCGTCGCCTGGATTGCCGCCTTTCTCGTCGCCTCTACGCTGGTGCTCCGCTTTAAGAAGTAATAAGTTTTTCTGGGTCTGGGTCAATGTAAAAAATGTTTCTTATAGAATTTGAAA